AATACTTTCTGAATCATCTGAATATGATGATGCAGAAGGCTTTTGGGGATGATGCCATGAGTGATTGGCAGCTATATCACAGCATGTGCCCACTCATGCATCACATCTCATGCAGAGATCTTTGGTGAAACATCAAATTACCCATGTGACTCAGCCCCCCTACAGCCCAGATTTGGCACCCTCAGATCTGGCCTTTCCCCAAACTAAAATCACTTTTGAAAGGGAAGAGATTTCAGACTATCTATGAGATTCAGGAAAACAGAACAGGACAACTGATGGTGAGTCTAACAAACTATTCTGCAGAGTCTTTTAAACAGTGGAAGAAGTGCTAGGAGAACCATGTGAGGTCCCAAGGTACCTACTTTGAAAGGGACTGAGGCATCATTGTTCTATGTACAATGACTCTTACATCTTGTATATTCTTCAATAAATGTCTGTATCTATTTTTCATTATGTCTCATTACATGGCTGGATGCTTTCTGGACAGACCTTGTCATATATATGTGAGTAAGTGGCCAGTAGTCTCAGAGGGAGGGCAGGAGGAGTCATTTTCATTATGCTTGTCCTAGAGTTCCAGGGTCCTTCTTCCTGAGGACCCAGGTTCTCCTTCCTAAGGAACCCCTTCCTCCAAATGATGGGTTTGAAGTCAGAAATTGGCTCATATCAAGAGATTGTAATAATTTGTTGAAGCTATACATCAACAGCCTCCTCATAAACTATCCTTGACTTCATCAATTATTTTCTTCCTATTCCTTTTTGACCATGTGCTATTCATCATCATCTGAATTATCCATGAACAGGCCTAGCGGGTTGCCACTCCAGTTTTGGTGCTCAACTATCACTGCATCAACCTAGCTTCTGATGTTTAAGCATGAACTTCTGGCCTCCATATGTCAGGATCTCTCATCCCCAACACTAGCAGGAGTCCAGTTTGCAACGCCATGTTGGACCACCTGCACACAGCAGAGGGGCCACCATTGAGTGTTTTAAAGATAGAGATCCTTCTCACCAGTGCATGTTCTTTTCTTTGGGGGGTGGGGGGCAGGTAGTTCTGCTTCTAACACCTTAAAGCTATGATTCAGAAATAGAAAGCACAGAACACTCTAGCTGAGATTTCAAAGAATCACTCAAAACTTTATATCTTAGTTATGAAGTAAATATAGGGATTTAAAAAGCCAAAGCCCAAATGAAAACATTAAGATGCAATTTTTGTGCTTTCCATATTCTGATTCTTAGCCTTAAGCCCCTCACTGAACTGGGTGATGTCATTTATAGAATCAATGAACAATTTACCTTCTAGTGGTCAATTCTACATCCCTTTTAGTGTTTAATGTTAGTATTATACTTTACATTTTCTTTCTTATTTATGACTATGTAATACAAGCTTTCTTTACAAAATTCAAAGATAGAGTATGTAATGAAAACTATGGGTTCCTTTCACTTTCCATGCATGTCAGTAGTTTTCATGTACTTTCTTTTATTTCCACAGGACCACATTATACACACTGTTTTGAACCTAATATTTTCACCTTAAAATATATTTTAAAGATTTTTCTGTATTAGTATATATACAATCTCCATTGTCAAATTATTTCACAGCTACCTAGAATTCCACTGCGTGTATGCATGTTTGTACTGAACTGTATATTACAAATATTTCCATTAAAAACAATGCTTCAGTGGATCTCACTTCTGTGTGTACATGTGTGAAATCGTGCACATGTGTGTCCTAAAAATGAACATGCTATATCAAGATAAAAATGCATTAATATGTAAGAAATATGAGGACAATTTTGCAACAGAAATTGTACAACAGTTGCATATGAGACTTTTTTCTATATGTTTCTAATACAATTTGTTAACAAATTAATTTTGTTAACAAATTGTTTTATTTTATTTTGTATTGATCCATGTCAATCTGAGGAGTGAAAGATTATATCTGGTAGTTTTAGTTCCATTTTCTAAATATGAGTAAGAATGCATATGTTTTTTTTTCTGTGAACTATCTAATCACATATATTGAGTTTTATGTCCTTCATATTACTTAAATAAGTTAGCTTTTTTTCTTTGATAGTAGTTGATAATATATTTTCAGAGTGCTATTTGTCTTTGACTTTGTTTTTGGCAAAAAAACCCCACTTTTTTCAGTTTTATGGACTTTCATATGTATTTTATGTTTTCTGGCTTTTATATCATGTTTAGAAAGAACTTCCAAGATTTTTTTTGAGATTTCCAAATCATATGATTTTAATCTTTATGTTTAAACCTATAGTCAACCTGGAATTTGCTATAATATATATATGAGATCTAATCTCTGATCTCTGTAGGTATCTATGAAGTTGTTTTAGATAATTTATTCAACAGGTCATTATTTCCTACTGACTTGAAATAATACTTTTAATAAGTTCCAGCCAAGGTGGATGCATAGGTAGAAACCCTTTGCTTCTTCACACAATGAAAAGGAGGATAACAACCAATCTAAAATCAATAAACAACCAAAATTGCCAGAAAATCAAACTGCATGGAACTCTGACAACCAAGGAATTAAAGAAAAAGTCAACCAGAGCAATCAGACAGGTAAGAACCCATGCTGAGGTGGGACCAGCTCAGAAAAACCATGGCTAGGCAGTGGACCGTGCAGGCAGGGCTGGCTGAAGGCAAAACTGAGCCTCAGTGCTGACTGTGGACTATGACTGGGGTTGCCTCAGTGGGAGAAATTCCCAGTGTCACAAAAGGGTTTGTTGGAAAGCGGGCTAGAGCTGAGCAGGTGAGCTGCATTGTCCCCTCCCCGCCAGGCAGCACAGCAAGGAGGGTTGCCCTGCCATGGTGAAACCTAAGGCCCTGCCCCTTTACAACTTATCAGGTGTGCTGAGACATAGAAATAGGGTTCAAATGAAAGCACAGAGCAAAGCTTCAGAAAGAAAGCTAAGCAATGAGGAGATAGCCAACCTATCTGATGGAGAATTTAAAGCCCTGGTAATCAAAATGCTCACAGATCTGATTGAGCTTGATTAAATAATGAAAAAACAAATGAAAGATACCCAAAATGAAATAAAGCAAAACATTCGGGGAACCAACAGTGACAGGAAGGAAACTAGCACTCAAAGCAACAATTTGAAACAAAAGGAATAAATAAACATCCAACCAGAGCAGAATGAAAAAACAAGAATCCAAAAAAATGAAGAAGGTGAGGAATCTCTGGAACAACTGGAAATGTTCCAATATCTGAACTAGAGGGGTGTCAGAGGGAGAAGAACAACAGCAAGAAATTGAAAACTTATTTGAACAAATGATGAAGGAAAATTTCCCTAATCTGGCAAAGAAAATTGACTTCCAAGAAGTCCAGGAAGCCCAGAGAGTCCCCAAAAAAGAACACACCAAGGCACATCATCATTAAGTTACTCAAGATTAAAAATAAAGAGAATCCTAAAAGCAGCAAGAGGAAAGAAGAGAGTTACCTACAAAGGAGTTCCCATAATGCTATCAGCTGATTTCTCAAAAGAAATCTTGCAGTCAAGAAGGGGCTGGAAAGAAGTATTTGTAGTCCTGAAAAGCAAGGACCTACATCCAAGATTACTCTATACAGCAAAGCTTTCACTTAGAATGCAAGGGCAGATAAAGTGTTTTCCAGATAAGGTCAAGTTAAAGGAGTTCATCATCACCAAGCCCTTATTACATGAAATGTTAAAGGGACTTATCTAAGAAAAACAAGATAAAAAATATTAACAGTAAAATGACAACAAACTCACAACTATCAACAAATAAACCTAAAAGAAAAGAAAAACAAAAACTAAGCAAACAACTACAACAGGAACAGAATCAGAGAAATGGACACCAAATGGAGGGGTTTCAGTGGGGAGGGGGAAGGGAGGAATGGGGGGAAGGTACAGGGAAGAAGAAGCATAAGTGGTAGGCATAAAACAGATGGGGAGAGATCAAACATGGTATAGGAAACACAGAACTCAAAAAGAACCTATATGTACAACCTGTGGACATGAACTAAGGTGGAGAAATGCTGGAGGACTGGAGGTGCAGGGCAGAGGAGGGATAAAAGGGGGGAAACTGGGAAAACTGTAATAGCATAATCAATAAAGAATACTTAAAAAAGAAATAATACTTTCAAGATAAATAGTTCCTGAAAATATTTGTTTCTATCTCTAGATGATGTGAACTGTTCTATAGCTCCATCTGTACTGTGGGGAGTCAGTCCTGCACTGGTCTAATTAATACAGGTGTAGAACAGTTTTTCATGTGGTGCAGACAGGATTTCTGTTCTTTACTCTTCTCTAATACCCTGATAGTTATTAAAGCATTTGAAGGATTTTCATTTAAACTTGTATAAATGAAAACTTGTACCTATCTTTTTTAATTGAGATATAATATACAGTTTTGTATTAGTTTCACATACACAACACAGTGATTCAATATTTGTTTACATTGTGAGGTTATCACCAAAATGAGTCTAGTTAACATCTGCCACCCTACATAGTTGCAGAATATTTTTTGTAATGAGAATTTTTAAAGATCTACTCTCTTGGCAACATTCAAGAATGCAATATTGTATTACTAACTATAGTCACATATAGTAACTAATGCTGTGCATTACATCCCTATGATGTATTAATTTTACAAATGGAAATTTGTTTTTATGATTCCCTTCACCCGTTTAAACCACTTTATCTTCATAACAACATCCTTTTGTTTTTTTGTACCTCAGAATATATTCAGTTTGTAAATGAATTAGGGAAGAATCAACTTGAATATATACTTCTTTTTTTACTTTCAGTAGCATTCTTGATAAGTTTTTTCAAAAGTAATTGTTGCCTCTACTGCAAATTTGGTCTCTTTCTATCTCCTAAACAAGTGAGTGTCTACCTATTTCTATAAAGTGCCCCAAACAAAACATTTTAGGTTTGGTGGGTTTTACAGTGATTGTTGCAACTACTTCACTTTGCTGTTGTAGCACGAAAGCAGCCATAGACAATAAGTAAGTAAATGGGTGTGGTATTCCAATAAAACTTTATTTACAATAACAGACAGCAGGACAGGGTTAGCCTGTAAGCCAAAGTTTACCAAGTTCAGTTACAAATAGTTGCTTTTTTTTCTATTTAAATGAATAAAACCAACTCTTAATCTAGCTAATGTATGTCAGGCACTTCTTATTTTTAAAACTCTTGTGAATGAAACTAAAGAATGTATACACCAAAAATAGAGCAGAGCACATATGCACATTCTACAATTCCCTTTTATAAAAAGCTAATCCTATTTAAATAGTGAGCTCAGAGCTTTCAGACCCTTCCCAGCTAGTTTACCAGGAAAAGACAGGATTGCAGTGGCTTCATCGGCAAGTTTGTCCAGGGCCTGCGAAATCCAGGGGGTTTCATCCTTTCTAGTACTGTCAATAGTATTTCTCAGATGATTTATCTCTGCTTCCATCTCATCAGACTTCTTCTTAAATCCTTCATTAAGCAAATTTTCTTGCATCTAAAACAAAGGGTGTGGAAAGAGGAAAAGGTAAACTTTTGAAATTCCTCATTTCTCCAGGGTAAGATTACATATGCAAGAATGCCATTAAATTTTCTTTATTTTATCCACAAAAGTATTCTCATTAGATCATCAGAGAATAATATTGGAAGCAGACCATATCTTCTAGGTTAGACCTGAACAGTGAGAGGAAGGATGGTATTCAATAGTACTAAGGCAGGCATGAAGAAAAATGCAATAGTGTGTTCCAACCAAAAGTATAGATTGGGAGGGAGCCATTAGTCCACTTGCATAAATTTTCAGACTTAATTGGGATGGCACGGTCTCCCATAGTGTAGAAATAATTGGAACATATAAGCTGATCAAGAAATCTGATGCAAACACTTCTAGATGGGAAAAAGAAGTCCCCCAGTGCTATGTGGTAACTTACACAAACTGTCCAGACATGGAGACAACTAAGCAGGTTTAGAAGATGTCAGTTCCCCATATTTCTAAGTCTGGACGTATCTGATAGTTTTAGGCTAGCATGGATCCAAATCACTGTCTTTGCTGGTAATCGGTTTCCAGATCATTGAGTGTCATCTTGGTGAAGTACCCCTTTGTTGCTTATGTTAAAAACACCTGGTTGGAATATCTACTTGATAATCTATAACACCCTGTTTAATTAGGTCTCCATGAGATCACCGAAGAGTCACAGTAATGTAGAAACTCAAACTTTGGGGAGGTTATTTATGTTCTCCAAGGACTTGGAGGAAAGAAAGTCACCTTGGACTCTCCAGAGACTCATTGTGGAGCAAAACTCAAAGGCCTCTTGGAAAGCCAGAATTCAGTAATTTTGGTGACTCGAATGTAGTAAATAACAGTAGTGGCTCTCTTTTTAATTTTGCTTTAAAATTTCATCCTTTCCTTCCTCATTTACCAGGGCAATCACCATCAGCAACTGCTGAGGCTGTGGTCAGACTTACCCTCATCTTGTGTTCCAGTATCTCGGTCTGTACTCTCAGAGCCTCTTCTCTGTCCTTCTGCAGCTTCTCCTTTAGTTGGGCTAAGTTTTCTTCGAGACTCCTCTTCTGAGCCTCCATCTGTTGCTCCTGCTCCTGCAGTTTCTGTTTCATCAGCTCCTGCTCCTTTTCAGCAGCCTCCTTCCTGGCCCGCTCCTCTGCCCCAGGGAGGTTTTATAAAGGGAAGAAATTAAAAATCCAGCCTGAACTTTACCCTCTTGAGATCAGAAAAGAAGTGAAATTTGAAAGAGAAGATGGAGAATCTCAGACTTCACCGGATGGCTACACCGTCAATAGCAGATCTGAGAATGTGATGGAAACTGGATTGGGAGTAAAAAGGAGAAAACTGTATATGAACAATGATTTAAAAAATAGTAATAAAAAAAAGAATTGAAAAAAAAAAGAAAAGAAAAAAAAGAAAAGGCCTTGACTTTCTGGCTGACATACAACCACCACTCTGCTTATGACTTCCAGATTTGGCAGAATGTGTATTCTACAGAAGAAGCAGAAATCTGTTGTTTTGGAAAGACCTTCAGGTGATCTGTCAGAGAACACTGCAGGAACCTACTCACCCCACTGAGAACTACGTCAGGCCCCATACCTGCTATGTACTTCTCCCTTTGTGTCAGGGCTCTGTCTGCCTGCAGGATGGATTTCTCTATTGACACCTGTGACTGCAGGAAGTGTTGGAAGACCTCTGTTGCCTGAGGAATGAAGAAAGAATGAAGAACTTAGAGTACCACTGAGGAGATTTCTTGTGTGAAAACAAGTTCATTCATACCATTTTACTTTCCATGTGAAATGTGCCAGGATCCCCTACAAAGTATCCAAGAACCTAACTGTGGCCAGAGACTCTCCATATCTTCCTCCAGTCCCTCTTCCAGCTCTACTTCTCTCCATATGCTCTAGGTTTCAGCCAGTCAGAATTATGTGCAGCTGTACATACTCATAATCTCTTTGTGCTTTCATATGTTTGCATGTTTACTTGGGGCTCCTCCCTTTAGATCACATCTCAACCTAGACAACCTGTACAAATACTTCGAAATTTACACCCCCTCCTCTTCTGGGAGGTTTTATAGACTATATGTCCAATGTGAAATGGAGTCTTAAATACGCTGTGATTCTCCCTAGCCACTCACTTGTGGGGTAACTTTACACAAATTATACAACCTGGCTGTGCCTCCTCATTCATATCTATTATATAAAATGGGGGTAATAAAAGCAAATGTGCCATAACATTTTTTTGTAAGGTTAAATTAAAAGGTTAAGAAAAAGAGTTTAACATTCTGGTATAAGTAATGACAGTTCAACATGTTAATTGTATTATTATTACCATCACATTTATTAGTATCACCAGTGCACCCCAGGGTCATAGGTTCATCAGTGTTTCCAGTCCACGTAATTGTCTATTTGTTTGACACTCTCTCTCACTTTAATTAGCTTTGAGTGCAAATATTCTGACTTTCTACCATAAATCCTTAACACTTAGTACACTAAATGTCATGTTGTTAGACAAATGCATAATTCCTATTAGGTCTCTCATAGATTTCAAAAATTTATACTCATCTTTGAGAATGGACATTTCTACTCTACTTAAGAAGAAAGAGCAAATAGCAGACCTTCAAAGCTAACAGTCATGATATCCCCATGGTGCTCTGTACTCAGAGGGTCAGCAGACCCTCTTGACTTCAATCTGTAGGATCTCCATGCAACCTTATTCATCACCTTCACTCCTTTACTGGGGACTTCCCAATAGCGCTGCTCAATCTTTTCCTTTGCTTTCCTGTAGTCCTCGTGCCCTCCAGGAACAGAGAAAGTTCCTGCTGAAATGTTTTCCATTAGGTCCTTCGAAAGCTGATCCACTGTATACTGGCAGTATTTTTCAGAAGCCTCTTCATTTTTCAGCAAGAAACTCTCCTTTTTATTCTTTATGATTTCCTACAAGAGAAATATAGACAGGTGTCACCAGAAGAAAGGAGCAGAAAAGATAAAATTCCAAAGAATTTATTAGCTAGGTACTCTGTGGTCCTCTTAAGAAAAACATTCTACTAGCACAACACAAACAAAGTAGCAAGAATCAGGAGATTTATTTCCAACTCTGAAAACTCTCTGCAAGATCCTGCTAAAACTTCTTAACCTCTCCAGGCCTCATCTTTATCTGTGAAGTGTTGAGATTGTATTATATATTCTTTGTACTTCCTCGTAACTGTAGCATCCTGTGATTCTATCTTCAACAAACACGATACAACTAAAATAACATAAATAATGATCTGTTAAGAGAATCTGTCTAAGGAAACCAAGTGTCTAGAAATAGGGGTGCATATACCTAGAGTGCAACCAGCTCAGGAATGACTTTGAGGAGTTCTGGAGTCATGCCACAATTCACTAAAGGAGAAATCAATGCTGATTTTGCTTAACAGATCAGACAGATCCTGAATAACTTTCCTAAACTGGAGCAAAAGAAATAAATATAGTCCTCTAGATTTCTCCCTCAGTATAGTCCAGACTACTGTATCCTGAATAGGAGATGAGCTATGAGATGAATATATAAAACTGCAGGCATCATTCCAGAAAAACAAGAATTAAGAAGGACAAATACTAAGACAAAATACCATTAGTTTTTTCTGAAACTCCCTCTGGTCATCCTTGAAGGAGTTCTCCATGAAGATCTTAATGGCTTCCTTCTCACAGGTCACGTGCAGGTCCAGCAGTTCCTGGAGCGTTTCTGTGGGGAACCTCACTCGCTGGGCCATCTGTTCACTGTAGTGGTCGGCTGCCTTCTGCACAGCCGCTGAATTCTCCATCTGGGCCAGAGTTGTCACTGCGTTCTCCAAACAAGGCACTGCTCCACTATTGATGGCATCCACGTAAGTCACCACCAGAGCCCCCAACCCTGAACAAAGTAGGAAATAGGGATTAGTATAAATTTATCACTCAGTGAAATCCAAGATTCTGAGATCAAAATTTTAAAACTACACACACACACACACTCACACACACCTCTTACTCCTACCATCACCTTCATTTTCACATTTACTCATTATCCTAGTGTTCTATAGGCCATCACAAAAATTGTTAAGTACCTACCTTCATCTAACATAATCAGAGGTGTCTGAATAATTATTACACATTACATACGCACAAGAAAAATAAACTACACAGGTAAAGAGATAAGAAGGACAATTCAGATAATAATTACTCCTAATTCTTAAGCTCTCAGTAGGTTTTCAGGTACTTAGAAACTGATATTTATTTTGGACTGGTTCAAACTCCCAGGAAGTCTCTCTGAAAACAAACATAAAAAAACCACTTGGAAGAGAGAAGATGGTGGCCAAGTAGGTAGAATCTGAGGCCACTTGCTCTTGTCCCCAACTCATATTTTTGATTGACCTTTTAACAATTAACCTTAACAATCAACAGAATCTTAGCTGATATGAAGTTTTAAAGCCAAGAAGAAACCTGGCTGGTGTAGCTGAGTGGATTGAGTGCGGGCTGCAAACCAAAGCATTGCAGGTTCGATTCCCAGTCAGGGTACATGCCTGGGTTGCAGGCCATGACCCCCAGAAACCGTACATTGATGTTTCTTTCTCTTTCTCTTTCTCCCTCCATTCCCTCTCTAAAAATAAATAAATAAAATCTTTTTTAAAAAGCCAAGAAGAGATACAGAAAATGCTTTGTTTCATCTGGTGAGGAGATGTTGTAAATTGAAGGGGAAATACCCTGTGCATGGCACCTTAGTAGTGGAGAGACCAGACAGAAAGCAGCTTTGGAGCTCCCTCCCATCTGGGAGCAGGGAGCCCTAGTTCCACACAAGAATGCCCAACCTTAGCAGGAAGTGACTTGGGAGGATGTATGGTATCTGGGCGATACATTCCAGTGAGCGGCAAGTCCATAGCGAGAACACCAACCTGGAGGGTTCCAGATAGGGACTCCTAAAACAATCAGGTTGCTGTACCTTAGTCTGTCAAAGGCACCAGCAGACCGCAGCCATGGGAGACTGTGAGAGATTTTACTTTTGGGGGAGAGGGTATGTGCTGAGAGTCAGACAGTGAGTGACTCAGTACTGCAGTGTGGGTACAGCATAGGAAATTTTTAAAAAGAGGCTGAGACATGACTGGACAAAGACCCCTCATACAGCTGCTCTTCTGGAAAAGAGACCAAATTGAAAGTGCAGTTCGTTTCCACTGAATCCAGCTGGGCAGGAAGTTGTGCAAAGAGGTGCTTGCTGGGCCCCATCCAGCTCTGCTAGCAAGCTGGGTGCTGTGCAGACCACAGAGGTTTGGACTGCATCTCCTGCAAAGGCAAGAACTGAGCACCAGAGATTCTTTGTAGCCAAACAGACTCCACTCACCCCTACATCCACAGAGTAAAAACTTCTGGGAAGGGAGAACCTTGCCCATCCCCCTCCTGCAGTCCTGCCAGGCTCAGGAGCAACCTGCTCAGTGCCTATCTGCAGGAGAAAGAAAGGAAGACACTAAAGGGAGGCCTTTCTGAAATTTACAGCCACTACAAGCCAAGCTGGCTCCTGTGGCCCTATTACACTGAAACAAACTGGGCTGAGAGTGGAGAAATTGGCTCAGCAAGGAATATTCAGGGCCCCATCCAGCCTTGGCCCTTATACAGAGTTTCCATCAACACCAAGCAGGAAAGACCTGACCCTGTTACACAGATTGGAAATTCACATGAAATGGACAGCTAACTCAACAGAAACTACACATTATTGAAAATAACCTGGGATAGATCAAGACCTGTGGCACAGGGGTGGTAGAACACACCCACTGTCTTCCCAGTCAGGGAAGTCTGAACAGCGGCTCCTAGGGGAGGTCCAGGGGTCCCAACCTCCCCGTCACACCAGAAGCACTAAGAAATAGACAGGTCTTCCCAGCCAGGGCACATGCCTGGGTTGCAGGCCATAACCCCCAGCAACCGCACATTGATGCTTCTCTCTCTATCTCTATCTCCCTCCTTTCCCTCCCTAAAAATAAATAAATAAAATCTTAAAAAAAAATAAACAGGTCGGCACTGAAACTAAGACTAATGGCAGGACCACAGATAGAGGTAGGTAGAGGTGATACCTCTGGAGCTTTCAGATGTTGGATGACCCACCCCTGGACCTTGTGTTGATGAAAAGTCAGCAGGGCAGAGCAGCAAGGACCATCCTGGATACAGCCAAGCCTGAAGGAGACAGCCATAGACTGTGGATCACTTGCAGGCTCGAGCAGGCAGCCTAGAGCTAAATGGGGACAACGTTTTACATTGCCAGAGTCAGATCCAGAAGGAGGGGCCACCAGGCAAGCCCTGGACTCTGCTGAGATCCACCTTACTCTTTTTCATTGTTTGCATTGTTCTTTCTTTCATAGAACTTTTTAACATTTTTTTCCTTTTTCCTCAATTTTGTTCCTGTCAGTTCACTAGTTTTCAGTTCAAATCTCATCTTTCACTCTTCCCTTTTCTTACTCCCTTTTGCTTTCTTGCTTCCCTTTCTCATTTTCTAGTTCTCATTTTAAAATTTATTTTTCATTTCTTCACCCCTTTTCTTTCCTTGCTCTTACTATTTCTAGCTTCACAAAATCATTTTTCTAGCTTCACAAAAATCATTTTTCTTTCCTTTAGTCATCTCATATTCTTTTTCTCTTTCTTATAATAATTATATTCTCTTTCCACCTTTACTAATCTTTTCTCATGCATCATTGATATCGCTGTTGTAGTTGATTTTCCTTCAATTTTGTTCCTATTTGTTCAATATTTTTAAATTTATTTCCAATCTCATATTTTACTCTTCCCTTGTGTTACCCTGTTTTGCCTTCTTCCTTCCCTTTCTTACTTTCAGTTTAAATTTTATTTTTCCCTCTCTTCACCTTGTTGCTATTCCTTACTCTTGTTGTTTTTCCTTCCTCTGCCCTCTCAAAATCATTTTTCTTTTTTTCTTTGATCATCTCATATTCTTTTCTTCTGTCTTATAATATTCTCACTCTTTCCAACTTTGTTGATCTTTGCTTATTTGTCTTTGATATTTCTGTGGCTGTGCTTTTCCCTCAGTTTTGTTCCTAGTTTTTTCACAAATTTTTAGAGCTTTTTCAAACCTCATATTCTCTCTTCCCTTTTCTTGCCCCATTTTGCCTTCTTATTTATCTTTCTTATTTACACTTTAACTTTTATTTTTTTCCCTTTCTTCACCTTATTCTATTCCCTATTCTTATTATATCTCCTCCCTCTACCCTCACAAAATAATTTTTCTTTCTTTTATCATATCATATTCTTTTTTAACTTTCTTATAATAAACTTATTCTCTTTCCACCTTTATTATATCTGATCATTTGTTGTTGATGTTGCTATTGTTGCAGGGGTGGGGTATTTTTGCTGACATGGGCTTTATTTTCTGTGTTGTTTTGTTTTTTCTGTCAGCACTTGTGCAAGAGCATAAGAGATCAAGGAGATTGCACCACTGAGTCCCACAGGTCTCCTACCACAGAAGGCCACCTCACAAAGACAGGAAGTCAAAGCAAATCAACTTCACATGTAGAAATAAACCAAAAGAGTCACCTAAAATGGGAAGACAAGGAAACAACCCCCAATCAAAAGGAAAGAAGGAATCCCTAGAAAAAGAACTAAATGAAATAAATGAGGAAGCAAGCAATTTATCAGACATAGAGCTCAAAGTAATGGTAATAAGGAGGCTTGAGGAACTTAGAACTACAAAGAACTTTGTAGGAGCTACAAGGAGCTTAGTGGGAACTATATCAACATGAAAATGGACATAGAAACTATGAATGAGAACCAGGTAAAAATAAAAAACACAATATCTAAAATCAAGAATACATTAAGAGGAATTAAAAGTAAGCTAGATGAAACAGATATTGAATCAGAGAGGTGGAAGACAAGGTAGAAAAAAACCACCCAGTCAGAGTCACAAAACCAAAAAAAAAAAAAAAGACTCAAAAGAAATGAAGATAATTTAAGGGAGCTCTGGGACAATATGAAACATACTAATATTTTCATCACTGGGATATCAGAGAAGAAAATAAGCAAGAGATAGAAACCTGTTTGAAAAAAATAATGATGAAAAACTTCTCGAACTCAATGAACAAAAATGCCATGTAAATTCAGGAAACACATAGAATATCAATCAAGATGAACCCAAAGAGGCCCACTGCAGGACACATCACAATTAAAATGGCAAAATTTAAAGACACAGAAAAAATCTTAAAGGCAGCAAGGGAGAAAGAGATCATAACATACTAGGGAGCTCCCATAAGGCTATCTGCTGATTCTCAACAAAAACACTACACGCCAGAAGGCACCGTCATAGAATATTGCGAGTAATGAAAAGCAAAGACTTGACCAAGACTACTCTATCCATCAAGGCTGTCATTTAAAATGGAAGGTGAAATACAGAGATACCAGACCCCAAAAAAGCTAAAAGAGTATATCTCCCCCAAACCAGCATTGCAAGAGATGCTAGAGGGACTGCTAGAAGAAAAAAAGATGAGGAGGAGGAGAACAAGGAGGAGGGAGAGGAGAGGAAGAGGAAAAGCAGGAAGAGGAGGAAGAAGAGGAATAAGAAGAAGGAGGAATAGAGGAAGAAGAGGAAAAAGACAAGACAAGGAAAAAAAGAAAGGAAGGGAGGAAGGAAGGAAGGAACACAGGTACAAAGGGAGAAAAATGGCCATGAATATACCTATCAATAATAACCTTAAATGTAAATGGATTAAATGCCTTGATCAAAGAATACAGTGTAGCTGAATGGATAAGAAAACATGACCCACATACATGCTGTCTACAAGAGACCCACCTCAGAACAAAAGATTCACACAAGCTGAAAGTGAACGGGTGGAAAAAATATTCCATGCAAATGGACATGAAAAAATAGCTGTGATAGCAATTCTTAGACAAAATAGACTTCAAAACAAAAGCTGCCACAAGAGACAAAGAAGGTCCCTACATAATACTTAAGGGAGCAGTCCAAGAGTATGTAACCCTTGTAAACATGTATGTACCAAATATAAGAACACCTAAATATATAAAGAAAATCCTGGAGGGCTTTAAGAAAGAGATTGATAATAAAACAGCCTTTAGAGGGGATTTTAACATCACACTGTCAAAAATAGATCTTCCAAATAAAAAATCAAAATGGGTATTGTGGTATTAAATAATACTCTAGATCAAATGAACTTAATTGATATTTACAGAATATATCACCTCAAAGAAGCAAATATACATTCTTTTTAAATGCACATGATCATTTTAAACAATAGACCACATGATAGGACACAAAACAAACCTTAATAAATTCAAGAAAATTGAAATAATATCAAACATTTTCTCAGATCACAATGGCTTCAACTAGAAACCAACATCAAGAAAAAAAAACTAAAAATTGCTCAAATTCATGAAAGCTCCATAACATATTATAAAATAATGAATGAGTTAACAATGAGATCTAAGAAGAAATCAAAAAGTACCTGGAAACAAATGAAAATGAACACATAACAACCCAAAATCTATGGGACACAGTGAAGGCAGTCCTGAGAGGGAAGTTCATAACAATACAGGTCTACCTAAAAAAGATAGAAAATTTTCAAATAAACATCCTTTATTGTTGTTTATTCGAACAACAATAATTCTTTTGGAACTAGAGTAACAACAAAAAACAAAGTCCACAGTGAGTAGGAGGAAGAAAATAATCAAGATCAGAGAAGAATTATATGACATACAGATTAAAAAAACAATAAATACAGAAGCTGGTTCTTTGAAGAAATAAATGAAATTGACAAACCTTTAACCAGACTCATCAAGAAAAAGAAAGAGAGAAAGGAGCCAAATAAACAAAATCAGAAATGAAAGAGAAAAGTAATAACTGATACTATAGAAATACAAAAGAGTTGTAAGAAATTACTATGAACAACTATAGGCCAAGAAATTGGACAACCTGAGTCAAAGGGACAAATTTCTACAAACATACAACCTTCCAAAATTGAACCAGGAAGAAGCAGAAAACCTGAATAGACCAACAACAACTAGAAAAATCAAAGCAGTAGCTAGAAAACTTCTGACACACAAAAGCCCTGGACCAGATGGCTTCAAAGGTGAATTTTAACAAACATTCAAAAAAGGACTAACACCTATACTTCTCAAACTATTCCAAAAAATTAAGAAAAGGAAAAATTCCCAATATCTTTTTTATGAGGCCTATATCATCCTAATTCCAAACCTAGGTAAAGACACAACAATGAGAGAAAACTACAGGTCAATATCTCTGATAAACATAAATACTAAAATTCTCAGCAAAATAGTGGTAAACCAGATCCAGTAATACAGTAAAAGAAATCATACACCATGATCAAGTGGGATTTATTCCAGTGGTGCAATGGTGCAATATTTGTAAATAATGGTGCAATATTTGTAAATCAATAAATGTGATATATCACATAAACAAAATGGAGAAAATCAAATAATCATATTGATAGGTGCCAAAAAAGCATTTAATAAAATCCATCACCCATTTATGAGAAAAACACTTGGCAAAGTGGGAAGAGAGGGAGCATACCTCAACATAATAAAGGTCATATATTAAAAATCTACTGCCAACATCATACTCAATGAGCAAAAAATAAAACTGTTTCTTTTAAGATCAGGAATAAAACAAGGTGTCTGCTTCCACCACTGTTATTGAACATACTAGTGAAAGTTCAAACAACAGTGATCAGATAAGAAGAGACAAAAGTCATCCAAATTCAAAAGAAGGAAGTAAAATTGTTATTATTTGCAGATGAAATGATGGTGTACATAGAAAACCTCATAGACTCTATCAAAAAGAGTCTATGTCAAAAAGACTCTATCTTCCATTTGTCCTAGTAAGTGAATTCAGCAAAGTAGTGGGATAAAAAGTCAGTATTCAGAAATCAATAGCATTTTTGTACACCAGCAATGAAATACCAGAAAGAGAAACCAAGAAAAAAATCTTATTTATCATAGCAATGATGACAACAACAACAAAAATACCTAGGAATAAATTTAACCAAGGAGGTAGAAGACTTGCATTCATAAAACTATAGAACACTGACAAAAAGAAACTGAGGAAGATACAAATAAAAGGAAGCATATACTATGTTCATGAATTGGAAAAATTAATGTCATTAAAATGTCCATACTACCCAAAGCAAACTATAGTTTCAATGCAATTACTGCAAAAATAGCAATAGCATATTTCACAAAAATATCCAATAGCATATTTGGAGTATTCACAATAAATACTCCAAAAATGTGCATGGAACCAAAAATGACCCCAAATAGCCTCAGCAATCTTCAGAAAGAAGAACAAAGTTGGAGGGATCATAATACTTCATATCAAACTATACCTCAAGCCCATTATAATCAAAACAGTCTGGCACTGGCATAAGAACAGACACATAAATCAATGGAACATTATAGAGAGTCCAGAAATAAACCCATGACTCTATGGTCAATTAATATTGACAAAGGGGGAACAAGTATTGAATGGAGTAAAAAGACTCTTACCAATAAATGGTGTTGGGAGAACTGGACTGGTACATGCAGAAGGAAGGAAGGAAGGAAGGAAGGAACGAAGGAAGGAACGAAGGAAGGAAGGAAGGAACTAGACCACCAACTTACACCTTACACTAAAACAAACTCAAAATGAGTAAGAGTTAAATATAAGTCATGATATCATAAAAATCTTAGCAGAAACATGGGCAGTAAAATTTCAGATATCTCACATAGCAATATTTTTGCTGATATATGTCCAAGGCAAAGGAAATAAAGAAAAAAAGGAATTATATCAAATTAAAAAGCTTCTGCATGTCTAAAGAAACCATTATCAACATGGAAAGAGAACTGACTGTATGGGAGAATGTACTTGCCAATAATACATTGGACATGTACAGTGGACATTGGATACAAAGATCTCTTATGACTCATACCTGGAAGACAAACAATCCAATTAAAAAATGGACAAAGGGCCTTCTCCAAGAAAGACATACAAATAGTCCATAGACATATGAAAAAATGCTCAATCAACATCACTATCCATCAAAGAGATGCAAATTAAAACCACAGTAAAATACTACTTCACATCTTCCACAGTGGCAATCATTAATAAATCAACAAACAAGTGCTGGTGAGGATGTGGAGAGAGGGGTACCCTAGTGACTGCTGGTGAGAATGAAGACTGGTGCGGTCACTGTGGAAAACAGTATAGAATTTCTTCAAAAAAACTAAAAATGGAACTATCTTGTGATCCAGCAATTCCATTGCTGGGAATATACCCTAGGAATCCTGAAATGAAACCCAGGATGACAGCTGGTTGTGGGGGTGTTAGGTGGTGATGGGATTAAGCAAAAATGAAAAAGGACTCATAGACATGGACTATGTGTGGTGATTTCCAGGGCTAGAGATGTGTAAGGGGACTATATGCTAGTGGAAAAAATACAATTTAAAAACTTATGCACCCCTATGTTCATAGAAGCACTATTTACAATACCAAGAGTTAGAAACAGCCTAAGTGCCCATCAGTAGATGAGAAGATTTAAGAACTGTGGTACATTTACACAATGGAATGCTGCACAGCAGAAAAAGAGAGTAATTCCTCCTATCTTTTGTGATAGCATGGATGGAATTGAAGACTATCATGCTAAGTGAAATAAGTCATTCAGTGAAAGACAAATAGCATATGATCTCATGTATAAGAGGAATCTAATGAACAAAATAAACTAATGAGCAAAACAGAACTAGAGGCATAGATTCATGGAACAGACTGACAGTGGTAAGAGGGGAAGAGCAAGGTGGGACTGATTGAAAGAGGGTGAAGAGATTAGTCAAAGAACATATATGAAGGACCCATGGACATGAATAACACTGTGGGACTGACTATGGAAGTGGTGGGCAGCATGGGCAGTGGGGCTAAAGGGACAAATAACTGGAACAACAGTAATAGCATAAACAATAAAACATAAAAAGAGAATGAAAAAACTTAATATGTAGGACTTCCCCTGCAAATACAATGTACCCATTTTTATATCCAATTAGTGGTTTTATCATCAGTAGTGGGTTCTTAAATGTGAGACTTCAAGATATCAGCAATAATATCTGGGGTTTTGGAAAGGGATTTATAAATCTCATAGTAAGAGATAATTACAAAAATACATACATATTTCTCTATGGAGTATAGAGTATACATTTTTACATAAAATAAAACTACTTAAGAACACATTATAATGACATAGTTAACACATATTATACCACTCAGAAATACAGGTTTGGAAAAGGAGACTCACGTTTCCCAGTGACCTTGACACTGTCCTTGAGGGTCTTGGTCCTTCCATGAGTGAAAATATAATGACAGAACTTATCCGATTGTTCCCGGAATTTAGGATCCAGTTCACTTTCCAAAATGTTCTCAATATGGGCTAGGAGCTCTGTTTCTTTCGTTGGCCGGTCAAAGACAAAACACTTCCGTTTTGGAAAAAAGTGCCTGATACACTCCCTGGGTACATTGGAAATTTTAGCTTTGGGATTTAGACCTGGGAAAATGAAAAACATAGTTACAATCAGCATGGTCTGGGACAAGACAGCTAAAGATTTTTAAGACTGGGATTTTGAACTATGGAAATTTCTATACTCATAGAACTCCTTTAACATATTGACACAAATTACAAATTAAACTCATAGAAATGACATATTACTGGAAAGAATTTTTTAAATCTTCATCCAAGGACTATGTTTACTGGTTTTAGAGAGAGAGGAATGGAGAGACAGAGAAAGGAGAGAGAGAGAGAGAAACATCGACATGAGAGAGAAATACCCATCAGCTGACTCCCATATGCCTCCCGAGCAAGGATCCAACTCTCAACCTAGGTATGTGCCCCCTGAACAGGAATCAAACGCACAATCTTTTTGATGTGTGGGACGATGTTTCAATCAACTGAACCACCTGGCTACAGCATTAGGAAACATCTTCCCAAGAAAAAGAAATTTATGGCTGGTATCCACAAAAACCAAATGATGACTGGTTTATTAAATATTTATCTAATTAGTGATTTAATGAGTGATGGTCAAATATCAATTTCTGGTCCATTCCAACCCATGTTGGAAGTAAACTGTGAGAACAAAATGAAGAGGAGCTACAAACAAAGATCACAGAGTAACAATTAGCATAGGGCATCCTCACTAAAGTGTCCTTAAAAGAAATGTTAAAGAAAATTCTCTAAGCTGAAAAGAAAGTGTACAATTAGTAACAAGAAAACACATGAAAGTATAAATATTACTGGTAAATGTAACTATAAAGTAAAGGTAGTGGATTAATCACTTATAAAGCAGGTATAAAAGTTAAAAAACAAGCATAATAATTCCTGTAACTATAATAATTAGTTAATTAATATCCCAAATAAAAAGATATAAAATGTGATATCAAAAAATAAAACAATGGAGGGACTAAAATGTAGAGTTTAGAATATGTTCAAATGTAAATATTTATGAACTTGAAATAGACTATTAAATATGTTCTTATATGTCAACCTCATAGTAACCACAAAGCAAAAACTTATAATAGATAACACAAAAGATACTGAGAAATGAATCTAACCACACTACTGAATACAGCCATCAAACCACAAAGAGAACAAACAAGAAAGGAAGAGAGGAACTCCAAAATAGCCAGAAAACAATAAACAATATTGCAATAAGTACCTATCTATGAATAATTACTTTAAATGTAAATAGACTACTTCTCGAATCAAAAGACAGACTGACTAAATAAATAAAAATACAAGACCCATGTATATGCTGCCTATAAGAGATTCACTTTAAATGTAAGGACACCACTGACTAAAAGTGAAGGGATGACAAAAGATGTTCCATGCAGCTGGAAACCAAAGGAAATCTGAAGTAGCAATACTTATATCAGACAAAATAGAATTGAAGACACAGAATGCAATAAGAGACCAAAAAGGGCAGGCATCATGAATAGTCATAAAGAAAGAAATAGGCAGCAATACAATAAGAGTGAAGGATGTTAATGCCCCACTTATATCAATAGATGGCTCATAGAGAAAATTAATAAACAAGCAAGCACCTTAAATGACACATTAGATCAGATGGATTTAACAGGAATATACAGAACACTTTATTCAAAAGCATCAGAATGCATGTTCTTCTCGAGTGCACATGATTATGATCTATTGTAGGTTAGATCACAAAGCAAGCCTTAAACTTAGGAAGATTGAGTTCATATCAAGCATCTCTTCTGACCACAATAGTAGAAAACAAACAAAAAATCAATTATAAGAAGAAAACTGATAATTTAACAAATATGTGGAGATTAAACAACATGCTACTGAACAACCTATGGGTCAATGAAAAAAAATCAAAAGAGAAATTTAAAAATGCCTTGAAACAAATGAAAATGGAAATACAACATTTCAAAATATGGGATTCCTCAAATGCAGTTCTAAGAGAGAAGTTTATAATAATAAATGTCTACTACAAGAAACAAGAAAAATCTCAAATAAATAAACCTACAGTTACACCTCAAAAAATAGAAAAATATGCAGGTCCATGAACACATGAATGGGCACCTATATTTAGAGCAATTCCTTTTGGGAGACATCCAAACAGCTCCTGCACAACAAGGAAAAGAAGTGACCAGTCAGAGAAGAGAAGGGAATTGTTTGAGCCTCCCAAAATCTGAAGGAACTGATCAATGAGTAACAGAGGAGCCAGTGAAGAGCATTGCTTATCTTCCCCTTGCACTTGGATACTGCAGGCATAGGATCTACCCAGGCTATATGTCAATTCTACCCCAATGTACAAAAAATAATAATTAATGAAAATATATGCACTGATAGTAGATGATCAGGTCCATTTAGGGTATAAATTAACTTTTTGTAGAAGATCCAACTAAACACATACTAGAAATTTATATACCTCCTTGAGAAGAGTAAGAACTGAGGGAAATGTATACATCATTGTGATTTTATGCCTAACAATTATATAGTTCATTGTTTTCATCAACACAAAAAAGGAGAAACATAACAAAGAACAAGTATCTGGTCTTTGGAACATTTTTAGCACCATTGTATTTGGATGTTAAGGCATAAATTATCTTAAGTGAAATTTAGTTTTGAATAATTTCACTCTACATTAAGCCCCAGTCTTCTTGAGGGAGCTTAATTATAGTCACTGGAACTTACCAACAAATAAAAACCTAGGTCCCAGCAGCCATGCCTATGGGGATTGATCTAGTCTAAAACACAAGCACAACTCCAGAGATGACAGACAGTGTTTAGCACCTCCCGCTCTGTATTGGACCATCCACTGCCCAGTCATGCTCTCTCACCTGAAATCAGCTTCAAGGCATTCTCCAGGTACTCATCTTCTGTAATGGGGTGATCGTTTAACTTCAGCTCCAGGGTGAAATCCCGTACAGTCCACACAAAGTCTGGAAAGAAACTCACAAACTCCATGGAACCATCTCCTCCATCCGGTGTAGGGGAGGACTTTGCCCTGATGAGTTCTGTGAGCTCTGTCACATAACTAGGACCTGGCTAAGGAAAAGGAACTTCCTACCCACAATTCCTACATTTTCCTCAAAAATATTATTATAAACATTGCCTTTTGTCCTGGGTCCCCTCTGTTCCATCAAAGGCCACTCAATCACAGGGAAGGGAAACTCAATTTGGTTTCCACTTCCATCAATTTCTCAACAAAACTAGGAAGGATACTGCAGTTTCTCCAAGGCATCATTGTTGATGGTGTTCATGCTGTTGTAGACTAAAGTGCTGCTCAGAAGCACAGCCAGGGCAAAGATCCATGAGTCATTCTTAGGGTCACCCTAGCAAACACGTTAGACAAAACACTTAGCAGTCTTCTCTTCAGAAACTCTTTCAGTTATTTGTTCAATCATTATTCATTATTTCAGATCATAGTGTGTTTGGTACAAAGAAATAACCTTGAAATCAGAATTAAAGGCAGATCTCAGCTTTGGCAATTAAATTTCTGATGACCTCAGTTTTTACATGGATAACAGAATTCTAATAATAATTTCTTCAAAGTGTTCTTTTCCTCTGAATGGAATCAAATAACACAATTTTGAGCAATTAATTGTTCATAAGTGACACCAGAAGTCCATTTAACAAAAAGCAGACTACAAAATATCTACTATGCCTGTCATAACTGAACTCTCAAAATAAACCAATTAAATTAAATATTTATACACTACTACTAAATGTTATATATCTTCTTAGTTACAGAGCAGAAAATATAATTATGATAATTGTTACACTTGAGATAGCTATCTCATGGTATTTACAAACATTTGAAAAGCAAATGCATGAAGATGACAATATAATTAAAAGTTCACATAGCAATATTGAATCTTAGTGAAAACAATTGCCATTATATCAAATAAAAATAATGAATTTGTCAAAGGGAAACAAAATATACTGGATTTAGAGAAAGAACATGTGTGTTTAATATGAAACATCTCTAGAAATTTTGTGCTGGATGTTAAAGGATTTGTAAAATGTTGACTTGAAGAAATGAAAGAAGTATCCAAGTAGAAAGACCTGCAGAAGCAAAACGAAAGTTAGAATGCAATAAGTAGTTATTTGGTCTGAGATAAGTAGAGAAAATAAGCTCAAAAGCAAGCTCCTGAGTGGGATGATGAAGAACCTTATAGATGGGCAAAAAAAATTTTGTGTTGTCTGAATTATTACAGAAGCCAGAATTTAGTTGTAGTATAAACAATGTATAGCTCAGCTCAAGACCCTTGAATTCAGCTTCTCAGTAAAAGTCGATTAAAATAGATACAATTATTCACTTCAGTATTCAAAAATAAAATATCTTACCTAACAAACTACATTATTTTGTCTAACCTAGAAATGAGTTCCACAGAGACCAAAGTCTGCCTCATTCAATATACTTGGATTTCAGCATTTCAGGAATAGATCACAACAGTTAAATTACAAAGGATAATGAAGAGAGAAGGAGAAAATCAGAATAAAAAGGATCTATTTGTGACTTTGTGCATTACCTTTTCTACATCACCCAGGCCCTCAGTGTCCAGAAGGACCAGAGTGTGGTTAGGTTTGGAGGGGTGGGGCACACACCACATCCAGATGCCCTTGGTTTCAGACTGCACTGTAGAGCCCAGAGAGAAACCTGAAGGTAATGGTAAAAGCAACATTAAATGACAACATATAGTCTAAGAAGCCCATGGACTCATAGGGTTATAAATGCCCTAAGATATAGCATCATGTTTTCTCCATTTCAAGGATGAAATCCAAACTTGTAAGTACATCATCTACCTACTCATACTTTTAGTAGTCATGCTCTTTCACATAAGTTTGGTTTATACATATTGATAATTCCATTTTTCATTGTAAAAAATATCTGTTCCTATCTCTGTGGCCTACCCACACATTAGATGAGAGAAAAGGCATGCAACACAAAAGAAAGCTTTGATTTCACTGTTCCACAATCATGACTCCTTGAAAAAGTTAAACTAGTTGAATGTACTGTAATTAGATCAAGCCCTTTAAATAATCTGAAGAATGAACAAGATAATTTGTTCGATGTTATTTATTAAGTACCCATTATGTTCTTGGCACTGGGGATATGTTTAAGTCTCAGGAGATACTGCAGTGGCTAAAATAAACAGAAACACCATATGTTTGGAGTTTTATAGCCAATGAGTGCGAAGGTCCTGCTAATTTACGGCTAGTTTATGGGCCAGGCATATGAAATCTGGTCTTTATGGATGGAACTATGGAGAGACAGGAATGAGTAAAAAAAAATGAAATAAAAATAAGGAGAGCATTATGCTAAGTGAAGTAAGCCAGGCGGTGAAAGACAAATACCATATGATCTCATCTATAAGTGGAACCTAATCAACAAAACAAGCAAGCAAGCAAAATACAACCAGAGACACTGAAATTAAGAACAAACTGACAGTAACCAGAGGGGAGGTGGGAGAGGATAACAGGAGGAAAAGGAGAAGGGTCATCAAGGAACATGTATAAAGGATACATGGACAAAGCCAAAAGCGGGTAGGATCAAGGGTGGGAAGTGGGGGATGGATGGGGTGGGAGGGAGTTGTGGGGGTAAATGGAGACAACTGTACTTGAACAACAATAAAAAAATGTGGAAAAAAAGAAAAATACTAACCTAACAAAAAAAATAAGGCATCCTTTTATAAGTCCCCATAAATGATTGTAGTTGCATTTCACCTCTTGTTTTGAAGATACTGCAAACCAAAACTAACTCAAAGGATATAAGCAACAATTAAAACATTCCCAAAAAGAAACATTATCACATCAAATTCATTCTGATTTTTTTTCTATGTTGAGAGAAAACCGAACTTCTGAGAGCCTTGCATGGAATCAGAATAGAAAAAGTGTTGACATGTGGTTGATGCTGCTTTTATATTCTCATTTTCTGCCCATGAAATTCAATAAGTTGTTCTCTGTTTTTCTTATGACTTATTTTATATTCACAGTGTCAGATACTCTTTACATTAAATCACACTCATGGACTTGCAGAATTTGAACATGCTAGTCTATAAGATATTCTGCAACACTAAGGTACTGTGCTTCAACCAAAATTTTCATGAAAGCTAGCTAAAGCCACACAAAAGTAACAGTAAGCTAAAAGATAAACATTCTGAGTTATTTTTCTCTTATTCAATTGAAAAAGCATTCACTCTTTGCTTACTACATTTTACATGCTATCCTTGTTGCTACAAACTTGTCAGCAAAAACTCCAGGTAAGGTTTTTCCTCTACTGATTTTAATTTTAATATAAGAAAAAAATAAGTACAAAAATATATAAAATATGTTCATATTATATTAAATTTAGTGAAGGGGCAACATGGGACAGGATGGTCAGGGAAGACTACTTTGAGAGCTAATGTTGTGCAGAGCCTTGAATAAAAAGAACTAGCTCAATGAAGAAGCAGCAAGTACTGCAGACAGAGTGAACCACAAGTGCAATGACCTGGAAATAGGAAAGGTTTTTCGATTTGCAAGGGTAAAAATGACGCTAATATAGCTATATCATTAACAGTGGTGGAGAAAATATAAAAGATGCGTTTGGAGAAATAGGAGACACTAAGTCATAGTGGGCCTCTGAGGAGTATGGATTTTATGTAGGAATAATGCAAGTTGAAGGAAGGCATTCAAAGTAACTAGGTTAAACTTTGCTTAGATGCTTTGAAGAGAATTATTAGAGAGGGTCAAGGTAGAAACAAGGAGGAGGCTTCAGAAAAAATTATTTCAAACAAAAGGATGAGACTGAGCCTCTTAAATAAAAATGGTAAAATAAAAATGGAGAGAGACACAGATTTGAGATATATTTAGTAAGAGTGACAAGAGGATAGATGTAGAAACTGGATGTGGGAGATAAACTAAACAAGGGATATAAAGTTTGGGGATCGAGACTGGAAGGATGGTATAGTACAGGGAAGAAAATGATTGAGAAAGCAGAAAATGTTGTAATTTTGCTGTGTTTTCATTGGTTTCATTTGGGTTTCAAAGTGGGGACTGATGTAAACTTTTTTGTGAACATGATAACTTTAAGTGGACAACTTTCAAAGAGAAAAAATTTAGGTGGTTATTTGATTAATGGGTCTGAATGTCAGAAGAGATATCAAAGCAAGAAATATCACTTAGAAAAGTATGAGAGTTGGATGAGACCACGTGGAGAGGGTATAAATAGAGAAGAGAAAACATCCCAGGGCCAAGTCCTGGAGGGACCTATGATTCAGATGACTGGATTAAAAGTTGTAGACTGGTAAAGAGACTTGAAGAGACTGAAGAGGTGGAAAGAAACCCAGACAGTGTGGTGCCTCAGAAGCCAAGGATGGAAAGAAATTCAAGCATCAGAGAGAAGTCATCTATGAGATATGATGTCAAACAGGGGACTAAGATGAATCCAAATAAATAGTCATTAAATTATAAAAAATGGAGGTCAATGGTAAATATAACAAGAGCATTCAGTGGACTGACTGTTAGGGTTAAATCCAGAGAGGACTCAATTGAAAAGAAAGGTGGGAAGAGCAGAAATGTGAAAGGAAATTAAAACAAGGTATTTTAGCTTGAAGAGGAGTTAAAAGAAAAAATGAGGTGGTAGTCATAATGAGATATGGAGTCCAGGGAGAAATTTTAAGATGACACAAATTCAAGCATATTGGTTAATTAATAAGAATACTACAGTATAGAAAGCCAAATTTCATGAGGGAGACATTAACTTCAAGAGCTCAATGTCTTACAGGTTAGAAAAGATGTACTCTAAGAGTACTGATATGGGAGATGTTCCTTTTATAGGAAGCAGAAACAACAAGAGTAAGAATTAGGAACAGAAAAAAGTCAAGTTTCAGGTTTACTGGTAAGACTTAGACTTAGAAAATATGTTTCATAAGAAATTGGGAATCTCCCTTTGTATGACTTCCCTAGAGAAGTACTGAGGAAGAGATTCAGCTGGAGTTAAGGAAATATTCTCTATCACAGGACTTCACTCACCAAGCTTTTCTCTTGCAAGACAGTTCATCAAATAGGATTTTCCTGTACGGTACAGCCCAACGATGGCCACCACCACCACTGGTTGAGAAATCTTGTTAAGAATCTTTAAGGCCTTCTGGTTTACAAACATCTTCTCATTCTTGTTTTCCACTAAACATATGGGAACCAACATGATGGGTCCAGATGCCATGACAACCTACAAACCAAAAAGAGTCTTTCTGTAGAAATCAGATCACAAATTTATTTTCTGCCTTACAGTTAATCAAAGCATGTGTTTGTCAGCAGAGAGCCTGTGTGGCCTCTGTACTTCCCTATGGGAAAAAATGTAGGTCAGCTTTTGCAAACCAAAACAGAAACAGTTTCCTGCACTACAATTTCTGATGATGGTAGTGATGATATAGCAGCTATTACCAGCCTCCAAAGTTTTACTTCCATAATGAAAATAAAACTCAAGCAATGTTTTTCATCTACTGAGAGTCTACATTGTGCTGAGCTTTGTGACACATGCATTACAAAGCCAACCTCACTGCAATTCATGACAACCCTGTAGATTGGGGCTTATTATAACCACTTTGCATATGTAGTAGGTGCAGTTCAGAAAGACTGAGGGATATGCTCAAATTTATGCATGAATAAGTGGTAGATTCAGGACTTGAAACCAGGGAAGACTGTGTCACCATGCCATGCTTTGCAATCACTTATCTGGCAGAATAATCTTCCTCAATAACATAGATTACTCCATATACTCCTAGATGAGTAATGTATAGGAGCTTTCTATTGACTACCCTATACGAACAATACATTCTCTAATGTATTAGTTGATGAGATGGGTTTCTTTTATTTCTTTAGAGTTAGTCTATCATTCCATATGCCTCTCAGCAGTTTCTAGACCAGGCTCTTTCCTTGCATGATCAGTTTTTCATCAAGGCCTCCAGGTCACCCAGTAATTTTTGAATGGTGTGCTCTCATGTTTTCACCTCTTGATAGCTGGTTCTATCAGTACAGACTTTAATTTATTGCAGTGCATTGGATGGATATCTATTGTATAGCTGAAATTGTATTTGTTTCCAGGGATAAAATTATTTACAAACTATGGTCCCTGCCCATAAAATTATACTAAAGTGTATCAATTAGAATTAGGTTTACCTGTGAGAAACAAAAAAAAATGGTTTATAAACAATTTAATTATACTGCTTTCTTACGTAAATCCCAGTATTAGTAGTCCCAGTATTAGTAAGGTAGATTTGTTTCATAAAGTATTGGTTTCCAGAAACTTTACTTACATTGTATGCTCAGTCAACTATAACAGGCAGCCCACGGTCTAACTAAGATGGTGTGCCATCCTATTTGTAGTAAGACAGATTGGAGAAGAGAAACTGGCATAGCCCTCTACCTTAAGAATTCATCACTTCTACTTAAAAAAAATGAATTTTAAGCTATCACATCGCTATATCCAGCCACATGGGAAGCTGGAATTATCATGAGTAGCCTGGGAAAACATATACACAGTGAATAAGCAGGCATTCTCTTAGTATGAAAGAAGGGGAAATAGATATGAGGGAATAACTACCAGTGTTTACCAGTAACTCTCAAACTAGGAAGACGGCAGGTAATACAACATTGATCACGGCTTACTATCACACTTTCAATTATCTCCAGTCTAAGCTCATTCTCTTCTTAGTCCCCTTTTTGGACACTTAGAATGCACTCAGTCAACATTCATTAAGCTGAAATTATCCTGAGGAAAACGGTCTATGTGAGTGACATGTGTTTACGAGAAAGCTGTGTATAGATGGTAATTGAATCATGTGTTGAGATGACAATTCACCTTAAGAAGAAACAAGAAGAAAAGCCTTGGGGAACTCTAAGGGGTGATTATTCTGAGAAGGCATAGAGTTTCAAAGGAGAGGTAGACCAGTAAACAACCAGAGAGGGGAGAGGTCCATGATGTTAAATAGCCAGATAGTTCACTGCAATTGTCAGCAGAAAGGCCAGGATGATCCTATAGTGAGCACAGATTTACGAGAGTGATGGAAACAGAGCTGAAGGAAAGAATGACCATGTGGGAGTGAGGAAGATTCAAAGAAGGCAGCCTCCTTTCCAAGAAGGAAAGGTAGGAGGAGAAAGTCTGGGTCTCAAGAGATATGAGCTGAAGTATTTAGTGGTGAAGCTTTATAGGCTCTGTTATTTAGTCTCCTAAATAATTATCAGAATAAGAATGTAGATAGAAGAAAGAATGCATTCATTTAAAAAGAGAACATGCAAATATCATGAAATATCACCAGGGGTAAATCTAAGTGAAAAGTACATGATGTTTCACTATAATATTGAACTTTCTCTACAAGTCAGGATTATTTTTTTCAAAATAAAAATTTAATCTAAAATAATAAACTTGTTGAGTTTTAGTTCTCTATATTTTCTGAATATTAATCCTTATTTACATATATAACTTTAAAATATTTCTCACATCTGAGTTGCCTTTTTATTCTTTTGATAGTGTCCTTTGATGTACAATTTTTTTTAATTTTCATAAAGTTCACTTTGTCTATTTTATATTTTGTTTCCTTTGTTTTGATGTCATATTCAAGAAAGCATTGCCAAATCCAATGTAGTGAAACTTTTACTCTATGATTTCTTCTAAGAGTTTCATAGTTTTAGGTCTTATATTTAGTTTTTTTATCAATTTTGAGTTAATTTTGGCATATGACTTTAGGTAAGGGTCCAACTTCAATTATTTGCATGTGGTTATCCAGTTGTCCCCACACTATTTGTTAAAAAGATGGTCCCTTCCCCCATTGAATGGTCTTGGTACCCTTGTTGAAAACCATTTGATCATAAATATGCAAGAGTTTATTTGTGGATCCCATGTTTTTTTCCAATGGTCTATATGCCTGTCTTTATGTCAATATCACACAATTGTTTACTAGAGATTTGTAAGTTCTTCAAGTTTTGATACTAAGAATTATGAGTCCTCTAGCTTTGTTGTTCTTTTTTTAGATCATTTTGAACATCAGGACCCCCTGAGATTCCACATGAGTTTTAAAAGGGTTTTTCTCTTTCTACAAAAAAAAAGTCATTGGGGTTGTGATAGGGATTCCATTAAATCTGTAGATCACCTTGGTAGTACTAACATCTTAACAATATTGTCTTGCCATCCATGAACATGAGATGCCTTCCCCTTTATTTGTCTTTTTACATTTCTTTCACCAATGTTTTGTAGTTTTCACTGAAAAAGTCTTTCATCTTCTTGGTTAACTTAATTTCTAAGTATTTTATTCTTTTTGATGCTATTGTAAATGAAATTGTTTTCTTAATTTTCTATTCAGCCTATTCATTGTTAGTATATAGAAATGTAACTGATTTTTGCATGTTGAATACACTCATATGTATCTTGCTACTTTGCTAAATGTTATTATATACATTTAATAATTTGTATGGAAACATTAAAGTTTTCTACACATAAAATCATATCATCTGTGAACAGAGATAATTTTACTTTTTTCTTTCCTATTTAGATGACTTTTTTTTCCTTGCCAAATTGATCTGTCTAAAGTTTTCAGTACTGTGTTATACTGAAAATAGTGTAAACAGGCATCCTTGTTTTGTTCCTGATTGTGGAGAAAAACCTCTTACTACTTCACAATTATGATGTGTGACATGGGTTTCTCATATGTGACTTTTATTATGTTGAGGTAGTTTCCTTCTATTCCTAGGTTGTTGAGTATTTTTATTATAAAAGGGTGTTGAATTTTGTCATTTTTTTCTACATAACTAGAGATGATGATGTGCTTGTTTTCCCCTTCATTCTATCTATTTAGTATACTATATTGACCAATTTTCATATATTATAACTTCTTGCATTTCAAGAATAAACCCTACTTGGTCATGAAGGGTTATGGAGTATATAATTCTTTTAATGTGCTGCTAAATTTGGTTTGCTAGCATTTTGTTGAGGGTTTTTGCATAAATATTTATCAGAGACATCAGTCTGGTTTTCATTTCTTGTAGTGTCTTTGTGTGTTTTTGGCATCAGCATAATAGTAGCCTCTTAGTATGAGTTAGGAAGGATTTCCTCACCTTCAATTCTTTAAAAATGTTTGAGAATTGGTGTTAGTAGTTCAAATGCTTGGTAGAACTCACCAATAAAGCCATCAGGCTGTTTTATTTCTGTCAGGAAATTTTTGATTACTAACTAAATATCCTTACTAATTGTATGCCAGAAATTATTTTCTTTGTGATTTAGTCTCGGTAGATTTTGTCTATCTAGGAATTTGTCCATTTCATCTAAGTTATCTAATTTGTTGTTTTGCAGTTGTTCATAGTACTCTCTCATATCCTTTTTTTTCCTACAAAATTGGTAGTAATTTCATTTCTGAAACTATCCTAAGAAAAGAGTCTATGTGAGTTACTTTCCTTTCTGATTTCACTATTTGTGTCTACTCTCTTTTTCATAACCAACCTAGCTAAAGGTTTGTGAATTGGTTGATCACCTCGAATAACCAACCTTTGGTTTCATGGATTTTCTTTACTGCTTTCTTATATTATAGCAGAACTCTTTAATTTCAATTCCAATATTTGTTTTGTATGTTTGGAAGGTCTATTATTAAGTGTGTACTTACAATTATTACACTTTTTCTATATTATACTTCCTGTTAATATATGCTTTTCTATGTCTTTTGTAACTTTTTTCATTTTAAACTCTAGTTATTTAGAGTCTAGTATTTGTATAGCTACCCATGCTCTCTTTTCATTACTGTTTTCATAAAATATCTTTTCCCACAATTTCACTTTCAGACTATTTGTGTCTTTAAATTTAAAGTAAATCTATTGCAGGCAGCATACATTTTTATCAGTGATTTTAAAAAATAAATTCTGCCAATCTATCACTTTATTGTAGAGTTTAATTCATTTATATTTAGAGTAATTATTGATAAAGATGAATTACTTCTATCATTTTGTTATTTTTTCTCTGTCTTATATTTTTAACCCCTCATTTCCTGTATTACTGTCTTCTTTTATGTTTAGTTGACTTTTTGTACTAAAAAAGTTTAATTCCCCAATTATTTCCTTTTTTGTATATTCTATAGCTATTATTGTTGTGGGTACCATGGAGATTATATTTAACATCCTAAAATTTTCACACCCTAATTTAAATTTATACCAGTTTAACTTGAAAAACATACAAAAACTCTTTCCTTTATAGCTCTATTTCTACATTTTTAGTTGTTTATATTAAAAGATATCTTTATACATTGTGTACACAAAAACATAAATTAATCAATTTAACATTAAACTTTTAAGTTATGTATGAAACAAAATGTGAACTTTGAAATCAAGCTAAAAAATACTAGCTTTTAGACTAATTTTTTAATGACTTGGTCTCTTAAATATAGTTGAAATCAAAAAGTGGAGTGGCAGCCTGTTGTTACAATAATATTAGCTATTATAACTGGCCATGTATTTACCTTTAATTAGATATTCATTCCAACGGTACTATTTCCATGAAGCAAATTGGCAGAGAAGGGCCTTGAGAAAATCTCAGCTATTCCAAGCTCTAAATATTAATATGAGATTTTTCCTTGGTCACCTTCATGTGCAGAGCTCAGGGATCCAAAGGACTAAAAAGAGGTCTGTTGTCTAAGCCACAGGCTGACAAGGAGAAGTTCTTTACCAAAGCAAGACTTGGGTACTGTAAATGGTTGGTCCCTTCTCTTCTAAAGTCTATCTATGTCTTGATGACTTCTAAGGCTAACCCACCCAACAGCTGACAATTTGGTCCTGGTAGAAACTCTATCCATTAATTATGTCTTAGGGATACTGAAGGGAAGGAGACACAAAATGAGGAAATGCTAACATGAACAGCCCCTCCTGGAGGTCTCCAATCACCATTCCCACAGTAACAGTGATGATCACTGCCTTGCACTTCTTTGTAAAACTTTTCATATCTAGGCTGCACTTTGGCAGTCTCTGAGTTTTAGTTGTTCTTTCCTGCTACATTCCTCCCACAGTAAACATAAGGTAGGCCCTACAATAAAAATACTCATCAATTTTTGGTTCTACCCTTATAGTGACTCTCTGCAAGGGCCAAAGAGCTCCCAATGCCAAGAGGATCAGATTGAATGTTATTGCTGTGATGGGACAGCCATATTTTATAACGCAGTATTGTAGCCCTATCTAAAGCAGGGTCATCATTGTGAGAAGCAAAATCATCACCTCATCCATTGTCCTCTTTTAAGACCTAAGGCAGTGGGGTTTATGATCCTGAGGAATGACCTGGCACTAGGATGACCTAGGGGCACAGCCATAAATTGTTAAGACACAGATTTCATGCATCTCTTCTGTTTTGTGGTCTAGTTGTTGAGAACTCCTATAGAACTAGTGATGAGTATGGCAAGTATTCATCAAAATCTTGGTTTTTAAGTTGACAATTCCAGTTTGACATATGACAGATCAATGAAATATAATATTTATAGAAGCATTTATAATATTCAAGGGACTGAAGAGATTTTTGGTTCCAGAAGGGAAATAGCTTTTAATTTTTGTCCTTTTTGAGACATCATCAAAATCCTCTTGGCCCAAAGTTCAAGAATCATCCCATGTAGAAAAATTGAGTCACTGGGAGATTGATTTGTTTCAGAATAGAAGTGTACACCAAAATCAAGAAATAGATGTATGCCATAGGCCAATAAAAAGTATATATTAACAAAAAGTCAATGAAGAATAACAAGAAAACCACTCAATTTCCATACTTTCCATATAACTGTTTGAAAAATGTATGTGTGGAAAGACCCAGAACCAAACTGCCTTCAGTTGGGCTACATAACTCCTGGACATGTCTGCTGTAGGATTTCACTACGGAGAAGCAAGAACTACTTATTTTCTGAGAAGTGCTGAGTTGCTCCTTTCCAGTTTTCAGGACATACCAAGAAAGAAGCTGCTCGAGGAGTCCAAAGAAAGCTTGGGCCTGGGCAGTGATTTACAGCTAATGTGTGTCTTCCAACTTTTAAGGGCGTGACTGAGGATGGGGGTGAGGCTGCAATCTTTAGGTAGTCCATTTATGTTTGGGCTCTCTTTTACTGTTTTTCCCTCCAGTAAGTAAAGGCAGCCAGAGGTCTCTGAGCCAGTCTGCTCTTGATGCCAAAACAGAGTATAGGTTAATCTAATCCAATGTGGAGTCAAGATTGAAAACCAGTGGTAAATCCATCCTATTGCAAATTCAAATAAGGAACATGGATGAAGAAACTGTCTTCACCTTCCCCCACTGCCGACCCACACCCCTCCGCCAAACAAAATGAGGCTGGAGAAAAGCCTAACTCTCATCTCTCCATGCAGTTGTCTTTTCCATTCCACTTGCCACTGTCCCAGCTATGTGATGTGCTGCGAGGCTGTCACCTCACAGCTATTTGCCAGAACTAAAGCCACAACTGAAGCCCACAGCGCAGACCATCAGGCTACAGGTGCCCTTACCACTGCATTCCTCAGAGACCATTTTGAGTCAGAAGTTGAGGGGTTTAAGCTCAAGACCAAGCTGCATGCAAAAGAAAGTTGATGAGGGTGCATTTCTGCCCCAGGCTCCTCAGGTCAGCTTGTCCAAGCACAAGCTCCCAGTTGTTTCCCACACCTGCTTGCTCCCTTTCCTCCTCCCACTATTCTGTTGCTAGTGTATGGAAAGGAAATGAAGCAAAAATCTGAACCTGAAAATGAAGGTAATTTATGTCATTTTTCCCCCTATAGAAACCAAACATCAGAAGCAGTGCAGGGGGAAAAAAGCTTAGTCCTTACAGTTACTCTTAACAGTTGGTTAAAGAGACTGAGAATGAATTATTTTACACAAAGGGAGCTTGTTAGAATTGTCCAAATACTAAATTGGTTAACACAAAAAGAATTATTAAATATTATAGTTTATATTGAGGACTACCTTTTCTCTCTGTTTCTGCAGTATCTAGCAGGGGTCAGTTAGAAAAAGTGTGAAACAAACAGGGAAGAGAGGGAGGAAGCCACTCCACCCAGCACCTCTGCAAGGGGGTTAGGGTTTAGTCCATCAGTCCCAGAGAGGACTTCAGCCCTTCTTCACAGATGATATAAGGGCCAACCCTTCACTAATGCAGGGCTTTTTGTTCAGCCCTGAGTAGATGCCCGAGGTAAAGCAGCGTCTCCCGCAGACGCACTGGGCGCTCTGGCAGCGCTAAGGCAGACAAGCTAGGAGCAAAGCGCCCATGGGCTTTACCAGCAGGCGCTCCACCTCACCCCGCCCTGCCCCGTGCCACCTCCCACCAGCCAACTCCCGCTGCTTCCCTGACTGACAGAGCCCGCAAACCCTGCACGTCTAGTGTGGGACGTGCGCTTGTTGTCTTTTTGCCTGTGCGTGCGAGACCAAGTCCCGGAGAAACTTACGCTGTGTGAGTGCCACCCACAGGGGCCACGTTCTCTCAGCTGTCCTCGCTCTGCCTTCGTGCACTTCTCTGGCGCCTGGGTTCTCCGGATACCAGCTGTCTTTAGCAGCTGAAGTTCGAGCCGATGTTACAGCCAAGAGGTTATGAGTGAGGTTGAGGAAAGCAAAATCGAAAGGACATGCACGTTTGGTTTTTTTAACTGTTTAGGGTTTTCCTGTTTGTTAGCGGAGATTAGCGATCCCAGGGTGGGGGTGAAACCAGGCAGACGAGCACCGCCCCCCCCCGTTCTTCCACAGCCTGCGTTAGAACCCAGGGCAGGTCCCTGCTCCGCCCCTGGCTTGGGTTCCCTGACCCCACAATGAGCACCGAGCCCAGGGTGAATGTGAGCCCCTAACAGCAGGCTGGCAGGTGTAAACGGGGGTCCTTTTGGGGACTGTTTGAGTGTTTTGTTTGCTTCAATTTTTCATTTAGACTATTTCATTTCTTTCTCTCATTTTAAGTATTCTTGTTATTAAGTCAGTTTTCATTAATGAACTTTACAGTCCAGAGATAATCACTATTTTGCAGTTTATTCTTTGACTTTTGTGTGTGTGTGTGTGTGTGTGTGGTGGCTCGGGATTATAAAAATCCTGAATGTATACGTTTTGAGTGTTTGCTTGAAGTAAAATAATATAAAATTACAAATTCAAAAGTGAATATTTATTCAAAGTGAGCAAAAAAAAATCACAACCATCAACCGATTTGTAAAAGCAGGCAATGCCATAAATATTTCCTCTCAGTTATCTGATTTTTGTCTTCTATTAAGGTCTTCCCTACATATGAGCATTAATTCAGAAGAAAATAGATATGTAATTTTAAAGCATCCCACCATTTAAAATACAGACCAAAAACTGTATAATTAAATTAGTCATTTGCTCCATCTGTTGCCCTCTGGATTGATATATGTAGCCGTTGTGTTACTGGAACAATTTGTGGCTAGCTTCATTGCCTATTTTTCTCTGCCTAGAATATTCCGAGTTGGTTTCAAAGATAATGAAGTGTTAACTGCACTCTCATCAATCAGTTTGATGAAATGGGCTCTTTCACATGGTAAAAACTAACAATAGCTAGATATTACAGATTCATTTTTATGGCATTATCAAAAATACATTACTAAAATGAAAACTTGTTCCAGGAGAACTGTTATATGACTTCAATTTTAGAAAATACATTGAAAATTGAAAAATTAAAATTCCTTTATTTCTTCAAATATGTGATATAATATTACCAATCACATTTTTACTGGAATGCTCATCTTTTAAGATGAGTTTATATTCCGGACTTCCTATTTTCAGAGTTAAAGTGTATTCTTATTGTGTGATATTGTTAGATAATTTTTATAATTTGCGTTTACTTGGTGTTTTTAATTTGGGCAATGCTATTGCTTTTCTGCAATGCATAATGGTGCATTTCATTGATACAGATAATACAACTGTGAAGCCCATTGCCTTTGCAGATTTGAAGGTGAAGAAAGTGAGGTTCTCACCTTTGGACAATATACACATTGAAGGTGACAAATATAAAGTAAAGCCAAAAGTGATGGATGCTAAAATGATGTTACAGTTAAAGTGCTTGTCTCTACAAAAGCAATAGTTAATTATATTAGGAAAGGTTAGAAATGGCTTCACAGAAAAGGTCCCATTTTTTCTGAGTCTTAAAGAATGATTCACTTTTGAACAAAGAATGATTGAAGGAAAAATATTTTAATGCAAAGTAAGGGAATGAGCAAATATACAGAAGTAGGGCTAGGTGCTAGAAATTAGTCTGGTCCAGTGCAGCCAGTATAACAGGTTCATTGAGAATAATGTAGAAAGATTAATTAGGAACTGGATTATGGACTATGCTGCACAGGCAAGCAGAGACTGTGAAGCTTGTTAGGCATGCTCATAGCCATGTTTGAATTCCATTTCTCTGATAGCAGGAGTTGAGGACTACATTGAGGGTATTACAGATCAAGATCTTTTAGCATCTGGTAATAACAGCTTAGAAGGCATATTACAGTCCCACCACTCTAAGTTCCACAGAGTCATTCAGGGATCCAGGTTCCTTCTATTCTGTTGTTCTATACCCACTAAGGTATTATAGACATCTACACGGTCAAAGGTTGAGTGCCGTTACATCTGATACCCAGATAGTCAAATGGGAAAGAATGATAGGTGGAAAGCAGTCTTAAAGTTCAGGCAGCCAAGGAGAGTGGACTGGAATGCACATGCACGAACAATGATGACTTACTGTGCTAGTCAGTAGGGGTGGTAGACACCACTGAGCGAGCATGTGTACTATGTGGCTGACACAATCAAAATGACTGAGCGAGTAGAGCAATGTGCATCAAATTTTGCATTAAGCTTGAATATTCCTTTGCAGAAACTATTCGGATGATTCAGAAGGCCATAGCTATGGGCAACTGGTGATTGACAGCTTCATCATGACAACATACCTACTTGTAGGGGACCAGTTTGTTTTGAATCTGGCAAATGTGACTCAGCCTATATGGAAAACCTACAGGAGCGAGGTGGTGGGCAGAAGCCAGACCCTCAGACTGAGTGAGAATGGGAATCAGGCGTAGAAAATGCATACAGAGCGTTATGGCTTGCTCTTGCTAAAACTCCCTCACCCTGGTCTAAAACAGTATATGTTTATTGCGTATCTTCAAGGTAGTTTCCAAAGCCTGTGTGAATTTTCCCAAGGACAGAGCTAATCAGCTCACCACCTTTCCCTTCTGAATTTGTTATTTTCATTTCCTTGATTGTACCTAAAATGTAGACAATAATATTCTGTGTAATAGATAATAAATCCTTCCTGATGTAAGACCCAAGAAAAACAATAAAAGCCTGTCCAGGCAAGGGTCGGGGTGCTCTCTTCTTAGAGAGTGGTCGAGGCACTCAGAGGTGCTCTTCCCTTGAGACAGTGGTCATGCCATCCCCTTTTTCTCCACAGGATTGCTATAGCCTGTGCATTTGTTTTTGTCTTCAGTCACAACAGGTGGACTCTGCTAGCCAGAGTCTGCCACACCTGCTCATGCATCACTTCTCGTATGTGGAGTTTTTTGGTGAAACATCAAATCATCCAGGTAACTCAGCCCCTTTACAGCCCAGATTTGGTTCCCTGTGATTTCTGGATTTTCCCAAAACTAAAATCATCTTTGAAAGGGAAGAGATTTTGGAGCATCAGTGAGATTCAGGAAAATATGACAAGGCAGCTAATGGCAACTGGGAGAACTGTGTGTGGTTCCAAGGTGGCTATTTTGAAGGGGACTGGGGTGTTATTGCCTTAAGTATAATGTTTTTTGTATCTTCTTCAATAAGTGTCTCTATTTTTCATATTACATGGCTGGATACCTTTTGGACAGACCTCATATGTAGGTAAATTAGAAGAAATTTAAAATTTTTAACCAGTGTCAGCTCTCAACATTACACAATGCTCACTCTAAAGCCTCTTCAGGTCCTATTTATAAATGGGATAATGTTCTTCCTGGCTTCATATTTTTCTGTGAGCATTTCTTGTGTATCAGAGAGTTCATAGAACAAAGTTAAGAGGCTGTTAAATTTTAAGGAGTGCATCTGCAGGAGGGGGTGCTGTCTTTTAGAGCTACCCTAAAAGGTAAAGGCATACAAAATATGTAGTATGTATACCACTGGAATAGCAAAATAGAAGAGGGAATTAAAAGAGATATAAAATTATTCCAAAATGAATGAAAAACAAAAAACTACATAGGCAGAAGTTCCAAGAACTCCATAAAGAATGAATAACAAACAAAATCACAACTATGCAACTACAGCCAAATTTATTAAACCCACATATTATGAAAAAATCTTAAACATTTAGAGAAAAAGAGGAAACATTACATACAGAAGAACAAAAAGTGCAATGTCAGAAAACTTGTTCCTAGAAATGATGCCAGTTAGAAAAGGAATAACATTTATAAAGTACTGAATGAAAAAGAATGTCAAACCAAAATTCTCTTCCCAGTCAAAATGTTTCCAAAAGGAATACAAAATACTTTCTCAAGGTAAAACTAACTGAATTTATTGTAAGCAGACTTTGATTAAAGATTGATAAAGAAGGTTATTCTCTTTCCCACGAAAAATGATACATGCCTGAAATAATGTGTCAATAAGTATAAATAAAATAGAATGCATAAATAAATCTGTATTGGGAATTAGAAGTACTATTTATTATTAGAACCCTTATAAATAATAAAACTATAAGAAGGTCTGGACAATTTTATATAAATAAAAGTTGAGTAATACAAACAAATTCTGTGAAATATAAATTACCACAACTGATGCAAGGAAGAAATAAACACCTAGAAACTTCTAATGACTATTATCAAAATGGAATCAGTGAGAAAGAAGTCTTTCTATAAAGAAATCACAAGGCCTAGATACTTCCATTATCATTTCTACAAATATTGTAGTTAAAATAATGTAGTTAAAATAATTTTTATACATATTCTTTCAGCATATAAAAAATATGGGATACACTAACCAAATCATTGCTTGAATTGGAGCTCCTTTATACCAAAATGTGACCAAACAGCACTCAAAAAATGAAAAAGCTTTTATCACTTATTAACAGAGAGGCAAAATTTCTAAATCAAAATTCGGCTGTATAAAGCAAGTCTAGTTTGGTTTATTCTCAGAAGTCTGCTTTGATTATGTTTAAATAATCAGTCACATTGAATGATACAATTAAAGTGAAGTTAATTATATGGTCATCTTAATAGATGCAAACTAAAAGTGTGATATATCTTATCATCCAATTCCACCAAACCAAGGATAAAAGGAAGCTTCCTTAATCTAATTTAAGAAGATACCTACAAAAATTATAGCAAACATATTTAGAGGTTAAGTCATTCTTCCATAGCCAAGAAGACAGAGCTACCATCTTCATTACATCTATTCTTCACAGTTTGGATGTGCTCTACATGGCAGTATGCTAGTCAAGTGAGGGAAAGTCTAAATACTGAAAAAAAATAAATAAAACTGCCACTATTTGTAATTATGGTGGTGGTGATGGTGATGTGTATGATCTGTATTTTTCTCTCATCCAAAGTCATGTGTTATTTACTAAAATATTTGCCATTTTACTGTTCATTTTTACATCTATAATTGACTGAGAATTGATTTTCACATGTTGTGGAATATGGGCCCAACATTTATTTTTGGAGATGAGTACTAATTTTTTCAAACAAATTAAT